AAACAAATTGTTCCAGCCCAGCCCCCCAAAAAGAATAATTCTGCTGCTTGACCAAAAAGGTCCAGCTTGGGCACAAATTGGAGTGAGGGTGGTTCGCAATCTACTGTCTGTCATGTGATCACAATATAATAGCTTGCACCAGACAGTCATGCCCCAAGTGGTCCAAAATGCATTTTATTTCTCTGTCTGATTGCACCCTGAGAGAGCAATTAAGTAAACTGTTAGCCCTTTCATACTAACTTCTTTATATCTGCTTCATCTAAAGCAGGCTTGTCCAACCTGCGGCCCAGGTCAGCTCGTAATGCGGCCCAGTGCAATTTTTTATTTTAAAAGAAATCCCAAAGTTTCAAGTTACACTGCTGGCACTTGCGGCCGGAATGTGGCCGGGGCATGTCACAACAGTAGAGGGGGAGAGAGGGAAGGAAGGAGTGGGAGGGGAGGGGACGGGGGGCTGCGTGACTGCATTGCGCCATCCTTGTCAATAAGTGGACCCCCTCTTGGCCCCATAAAGCCGCCAAAGTCGAAGCTGGCAGCCTCTGCTGTCTGAGATCGCATCTGCCGGTAGGTGCGCTTGGAGCAGGGCTGTGGAAGACGGCTAGGGCTGCCCCCCCCATGTGGCCCAAACCAAATGTATGTGCGGCCCAAACCAAATTTTCATCTTCTAATGTGGCCCAGGGAAGGTGAAAGGTTGGACACCCCTGATCTAAAGTAATATAACATGGTACCATACTATCTTGATAGCACAAAATAACACACAGAAAAAGTTTCTGAATGAATGAATGAATAAATTAAATAGAATAAATGATTTTTAAAGAGAAAAGTGCAATAGTTATTTACATATATTAGCTTAAAATGTTTAGAAAATGTTCTGTGCAGTTACAGCGTATTCCTGTATGTATCTACTCAGAAGAGTCCTGGCAGGTAGATGAATATAACATGAGTGAAGAATTTCAGCATACCAGAAGATGCTGACCTGTGATTCTCTTAATTGCTTGCCACATTGATAGAAGTTGTAATCCACCACCTGAATAGTCAAATGGTTCTCATACCTGGTATGAGATTTTGCAGCTTTAATTTTCTTCATCCCAACTGTAAAAATGTATTCTTTTTATATAGAAAACTAGAAGCAGGGGTAATGGTTCTAAGTGTCATCCTAACATGCCAACTTTCTGTACTCATTTGCTAAGAACATGATTCATTGCTACCACATTTGTTCTTTGTGAGAACCTGGTTGAAAAGTTTTGAGACATCCTTGCCATATATCTGTTCTGGATGCAAAGAACTGTCAGATGAGATATTCTCAAAAATATGCAGTGGTTGGAATTAAGTAGCATATTAGTGGCACTGCTAGAACTGTGGCAAGAGACTGGAGGCAACAAGGCCAAGGATGGAAAATGTGTACTGGAGAAGTTACTGAGTCTTGGACTTTGTAATCTGTATTCAAATCCCCTATTCAGCTATACTGCTCGCTATCTCTCAGCCCAATTTACCTCAAAGGGCTGTTGCAAGAATAAAATGGGGTTATGACTTGTCTTTGGAGAAAGGCTGGTAGGTAAATTCTTTGTATAATAAGGTGCTTCTATATATTTACATATTTAATTCATATCTACTTCCTCCCTCAAATGTCACTCATGCCTGGTAAGAATGAAAACCATTCAAATATAAACTATAATATAAACATTTTAAAATGAGAAACAAATCAGTTGAAAGCACAAAAAAATGGTTAAATGAGTAAAAAAAATCTTTGCCAACCAGAACAAGGATGACGAAGAAGGTGCCAGCTTGACATCTCCTGGCAGGGAGCAAGAAATAGCCACAGAGAGGGCTATTTCTTGCAGCCCACTCAAATATGTCTCAACTGATGGTGGTACCAAAGAAAGGCATCCTTCAAAGATCTTACAACCTAGGCAGGCTTGAAAAAAATGAATTGAATCCTTCATATAGCCTGCCCTAAAATAATATGAAAGTTTATAGGCACTCTGATTGCTGCTGTAAACAGTGGTTTATTTAGAGGAGCCAGGGCTCACATGGTTGAGTCCTTGGGACTTTCTGAGTAGAAGGAACTATGACATCACCACTCCCTCACTCCTGACCAGGTTTCCCTGTTCTCTCCTAGCTTACCTGCAGAGTCATCATAGTAGTTGAGAAAGAAATTGATTTTCCCAGGAATAGTATATTATTGCAACATATTCTTACTGTAATGCAAAGTATTTGAGGGTAGTTTGGATTTGAATGGGCAAGTAAGAGCTACTCTTCATTTATTTATGTTGACCAATCTGGCTGTCTGCATTTTTGGACTCTCCTTAAGAGGAGGTGCCTAGCTATGAAGACTGTTATGATGGGTACCTGCACTTTTTTTTTAGCACTATACCACTGCTGGTGCACAATCAATCTAGTTCTGCTAAGAATTTTGCTCCTTGCTTCCTGTAATGTATGCCGGTCAATGGTTTGACTGCAGCACTCTGGAACACCTGAAGTTCCCATATAATTTTAGAGGCTACCCTGTGCAGGGCATGTTACAAATCTAAATAGGATGCATCCAAGGTGTGGCCAGAGGGACACCTCCAAGAACAAATGTAAGAGGTACACTAGCCTTTAGGTGTGCAAATGTACTGCTGACTCATACTGAAAGCTGGGCATTGATATTCTAGGTTGACTCTCGGAGTGCACTGAAATACTAAATTATCAGCAAAAAATAAAACATAATAAAAGCTTATAAATACTTGGCAGTGTACACCCAAATTTCTGAAAAAATACCACAAATTAATATATCATGAATAGTAGTGATTTTTTTTCCTGAAAATGATGAGAATTTGCATCATTGATTTCACTGATTACATTTCAAATACATTGACAACAGCTCTGTTTATTTTCTGAAAAGCTCATGGCAGGTATCACTGGGTTTTTAAAAAAACAATAGCAACATCAACAACAATGGAGTAATGTTAGTGGTTTCTATCTGCAATAATCTAATGCTGACAGAGAGTAGTATTTTATTTAGTAATTAACAGTGTAAAGGGGAGAGAAGCTGTCATGTTGGTTCTTAAGCTGGGGAATGTGATGAAAGATGATATCTCCGATCTCATCCTTTCCACTTGTTTAGGATTGTCAGGATGAGAAATGTCAGCATTATGAAAGCTCAGCTCTGCTCTTGATATGATAAAACCCTTCAAAAGCCAGTCTCTCTCCCTCCCTCCTCCCCTCCTTTCTCTCTCCCTGCTCTTGCTTCTTTTTTTATTTATCCTGTTTTGTTAGATGGCAGAAATATAATTCTTTTCTTTCTTCCTATTATAAGCCACCATTTTTGTTTTATTATATGTTTCACAACCCCTAATGTCCCACTGAAAATTACCTTGTTAAATGACAGTGTTTCAAAGCCATGAATTCTCCCCCACCCCATTTCCTCTGAGGTTTGAAACAGTCAACAGACTGTAAAGAATAAATAATAAAAAAGTATTGATTATTTTGATGACTGTGAGATTCAATTAAGTATTAATTTTGCCCTCCAGTGGACCTATCAAGGTATTCAAAAGGGAGGATTCGGCTTGAACTAAATGCGTACTGAGTGCTTCAGCCTTAAATAGGGAGAAAATGTGTTTACCTACAGTATTTGAAGAAGAGTGCATTGATGCACAGAGTCCAATATTTAAGTGCTGTGCAAATTAAACCCTGGTGACAGTGACATTGTTTTCGGCAATATGAGTATTGACTAAAGAAGTGCATTTGATGACAGTTTAAACTATTTGTATTGATTAACATTTTCATAGATTATCATGTGTCATATCAAATTCACTTTTCAGACATGAATACATTAAAAAAAACCATAGGCAACCATCGACCAATGTGTGAATGGGCACAGGGAACATGCTAACCAACCTACTTGCATGCTGGTCACCTGTTCTCTCCATAAGAACCATTTAGGCATAAACTTAGCAATAAATAGGTGGGGATCACACAACAAGTTTGCTTGTGTGTGTGTGTGTCTCATTCTTTTTCCTCCCCCATTGTCCTTCCGTTTTTGTTGATTTAGTGGCAAAGCAAACAACGGACTGTTTTTTGGACGTCAGAATTTACCCCTTCCACACACACTCTTCGTCTGAATGAGAAGATAAAATAGATTTAGATAACCAAGGAACATTTTTAAACAACATAACATAGCTATTGCATGTATGCATATGCATTGTGGAAGTATAGTGTTCAAAACACAAGAAAGATTGCAAACATTTTGTAAGTATTCTTCACAAGTTTTGTCTTTTAAAACTGTTTCTGTGTGTGTTTAATTTGTCTCTCTGTGTCTTTTTCTCTAAGTGTGAGATTGTAGACTTTGGAAGCTTAATAACCCAAAGACAAAAGAATAAACCTTTCATTTTCTTTTCTGGATTTTATATCATTAAATGAGTTGCTCCTGTTGTATTTCCTTTTTAAATTGCTATGTAGTGTAATGGGAACATTTCTTTTATTTCTTGTGAAGGCTGATGCTTTGCTTTTGATTTGATTAACACTGTTGCAGTGAAAATGCACTTCTGTTTTGATAGAGAGCTCTAGGACATCCACAAGCTTACAAAGAAAAAGAAAAAATTCAGTGCTGGACCACACTGGCAGTACTCCCCCCCTCCTTGCTGCATTAAAGTAACGAGAGGTGTAAAAACATCCACACAAAGAAGCACATCCCACAATTAAAGCGGTGTTGGTTATGTAGCTTTCACTGAAGTTTTTCTCCAAAGCGTCCGGAATCTCTCACATGCTAGTTGAGCTTTAATAGGGTGGGGAGTAATGGAAAACTCATTGGATCTGTAATAGCTCTTCACTTGACTGCAGCCAGCAATAACAGCAGGAGCAGCCAGAGATAAGAGAAAGAGAGAGAGTGTGTGTATGTCTATGTGTATGTCTGTGTGTGTAAGAGAGAGAAAGGGAGAGAGAGAGGGAGTGAGAGACACAATACGCACACCAAAGCTGCCACTTTTTCCCCCTCACTCTTTTCCCCCCCATCCTAGGATCCAATGATAGCTGGACAAGTCAGTAAGCCCTTGCTGTCACTGCGGAGTGAAATGAATGCAGAGTTGAGAGGTGAGGACAAGGCAGCTGCTTCAGACAACGAGCTGAATGAGCCCCTGCTTGCGCCTGTGGAATCAAATGACAACGAGGACACTCCCAGCAAGCTCTTCGGTAAGTCTGTCTAGGTATTTCGCGTTTGGAGTGTTGTTGCCTCTCTGCCCTGATGCCACAGAATCTGAGAAGAGAGAAAGGAGATTAAAGGCAATGGTATTTGGTAGAACCAACTTCCGTCGTGGAAGAGCAGCCACAAGCTCTCTCTGTTCTGCTTGCTTGCCGGACTGACAAAAGTTTGGTCTGAGAAATGCCATTGCATTGTTGACTTGAGCTGCAATTTGCGAAACACAGTCCTGGGCAGTAGTTCCACAATAGTCCCATGCATATCAGTAGGACATCAAGAATGCAACTTGCGGACAACTAGCTCATAGATTGCTATCTTTTGTCTTTGGAATGTTAGTGTTTGTTCAGAAAAGTAATCTCTTGTTTGATTTTGTTAAGAATTAGGCATATAAATTGAAATTTGCAGGTAGGCAGCCAGAAATCTAGTTTTCCTTTAATTTGTTGGCAACCATATATGAAAATGATTTCTCCGAAAACTCTTAGTCACAGTAAACTTTTCTTAAGAATTTTAAAGCAGGTCTCCTCTTTTTGTCCTGTTTGTAGCTCTTCTAAAAACACTAGAATATTTCTTTCATCTTTTTATTACTATGATGTTTAAAAACCTGTTGGGGGTTATTTGGTGTAAGTTTAAGCATGATTCATTATTTAGTTTAAATAGAGGAAGGAAATGAAATCTTGTTACGTAAAGATGTATTTTATCAGTTTAGTTAGAAAGAAAACAATCTTCCCTCCCAACATGCATGACAGTATACAGTATATATTTTAAAGAGCAAGGTTAACAGCTAATGAAAATATAGCCTTTCAGGAATATTGGTTTCATATCTGAAATGGGAAGAAAGAAGTGTAGCGCTTCAGCCCAGACATCTGTCATTCAAACCAGTGACACCCTGTAAGACAACTCAAGCAACTGTAATCTCTAATCAGAAAAGGGAGCAGAGCATGTTCGGGGGTGTGCTTGAGTGATAGATGTTGATATGCGTCTGTGTTGGAGGAGTACTACATAGTACAATGTGACATTTGGATTCTACAGCAATTGCTTCTGAATGAATCCCTTTTAATTACTTCCACGTGCAGCATGTCAAGAAGGACATTGGGAAAGCACATAACAGGCAACACATATTTTGTATTTCACAGAAATCTTTCTTTTTTTGTGAGAGGAATACAACTTTAAAATATGTGAGTTTTTTTTAATCCACAAGAAAACTGAAGAGGCTCAGATGTCTGCATTTTTGATACAGCATGAAGCTGCAAAATGATTTTTGCAAAAGGTCCATGCAAGATTGATCAAAAGACATGCCTTATCATTTTTAGAGACAGGTAGATGCAAAAAAAATAATGTAATAATACAGTATAACACAACTGACCAAATCATTATGGTTGAATTATACAATGCTCACTATAGATTGTCATTATTACTTAATTATAACTTATTAATGGTATATGTTTCTATGTGGGGGGAAGAGAAGAAATTGTCACTTTCATATAGGAATATTTAGCTGCTATTTAATTTAACAAGTTTCATTTAGATAATGAGTCCTTATAATTACAAAAAAATCTACTCAATATTTCAAACTAACTGTAATCAATTTAAGTAATCTTTTGATTTTTCCCTCCTGTCTTTTAAAAGGAAGACAGTAATAAAAGCACCTGCTTTAGCAGTTCAGCAGTCAACACAATTTACTTCAAAATATATTTATACATCAAACTTTTAACACAACTATTATTATTCTAGACTGCTGCTGATTATACTGTATGTTTCAGACAAGTTTTATGGTAAAAAGAAAGACCTCCCTAATGATAATTCTCCAGGTTTGGTACCATAGTAGAAGCCCTCTGTTCAGCTTTTGTCAGAATTTAAGATGGTTGTTTTATTCTTACATAGTTATAGAATTAAATTGCATCAAGTTAATTCCTTTGGGGAACAAATGCAAGGAAAGTGACTCAAGTTAGATGGCCATAATTGGACATGCATTTGAGTTAGGTGACAACTGCTGTGCAACCTCTTTGATTTCAATAGCTGTTAATCCCTTAACAAGGGTAGGTGAGTGTACTCAAAGATAAGGCCCACTGACTCCTGTGCATCTCGGAGTCCCAGACTCTTGCAAGTGTTGAATTTTGACTAAGTGCTTTGTAATTATGAGCTGCAGAAGAGATTCATATCTAAGCTGCTTAGGCTGCTGTCCTGTACATACATACATACATACATACATACATACATACATACATACATACATACATACATACATACATACATACATACATGGAAAAACCCTCATTGAACTTAATGGGACTTGCCTCTGAATCTGTAGCATTGCTCTGTTACTGTCCAATCCTATGTACAGCTATTCTTTGTAATTAGTGGAACTTAATCTCATAAATACAGGGTTACAGTCTTTAGCAGCTGCTATACTGATTCCAGTGGTTCTAGGGGAAAAAAATCCATCCCTTCTATGAATATCTTTTTGGCTCTTAGTTTGGGTTCTGCTTTGCGTTCAGATTTGTGTGCCTGTAATTTGGGGCATTAAGGAGAGGTAGACAGCTAACTATCTCAAAGATGGGAGGAAGTGATATTGTGTATAGAACACAAGCACACTTCATCAGAAACACTCAGGGAAGGAATGTTCAACATGCATTAGTGTTTATGAAGTGCTTTTGCATGTGTTATAAAGCATCCTTCACAATTAAAACTGTTCAGATATTGTTCTTTTCTGTGAAAGTTTCCCAAGACACTGCTCTTTCTTACAGCAATTTCCAGTTTATAGATGGTATATTATTACATTGTTTTCATTTTATAATTATATTATTTTGTCTTTCGTTGTTTTGCTAAACAGCATTATGGCTCTTGTATAGGGCCTTTAATCTTTGTTAAGTCTATATCTCTTCTTATGAAAGACAAGCAGATGAAATAACGACTGAGGACCTTAGTTTCCAAGTAAAAACATCCTGTCTTGCAGTAGCTCACAGCTTCCCGTGACTGTAACGTTAGATGGTTTTATGTGTTAATATCTGATAGGCCATAGTAGGAAACTGGCATTTTTCCAACAGCAGGTTCAGGTGACAGAGATTCAGGGTTAAGATTGATAGTACTCTTTCTTCTTTCTTTTTTGTTTCTTTTTCTTTTTTGGCCTGTGACGATAATGCAACACACTTTTGGCTTACCTCCAAAATGTACACTTCACTACAAGGAAATCAAAGGTAACAGTTTTTCAAGCTTCAGTATTACTGATCTGAGTTTATTCAGTTCTCGAACAAATGTTAGGCGCTTTCTTATAGATTCTTAGCTAGTTTTAAGCTATTTATATTTCCTAATCTTTATTGTGTGTTTGTGGATGCATATACATGTATGAAAATGCACGCACACATGTAACACACAAACACCATCTTATATTTTAAAAGTTCCAGCCTTCTTAAACAGTGAATCCTTAAATTATGCGCTCACAAGCTTATAAAAGTTTGCATATTTCCCATGTATATCGCTTCCTATGCTTACATGTGAAAACATATCACTAGGATAATTATAAATAGCATTTAGAGTGAGTGTGAAAGTCCAGTTAAAGGAACTTTGTGTTCTGTAAATTGTTACCTCAAGAATAAGAGTTTAGTCCACTTGTACATTTATAAAGAGTTATATTACACTAAGGCCAAATTTCATTGAAAAGCACGAGGTTATAGTACTGCATGTCGTTTTAAGTGCTACTCTATTTATTCCTGTTTATGCTAGTCTCTTATTCAAAATGTGGCAGAAAGTTTGCTGAATAATTGAATTTTGAGGCAGGCTGCTGTTTGGGGAGTCAATAGGTATGTGTTCAGTTTGTATTTCGAGTTTGTAATATTGACATAAAACATGGTCACTGACAAGGATAAGTGTGGATAAAATCCATAATCCTATTATGCACCTTACAGAATACTTTTAGTTTAATAATCATATTGAAATAAGTGATTATTATTCTTTGACATTATATTTATACACTGTATTGCTATATTTTAGCTTAGATATTTTGCCGCAAAGTGCTTACTTGAATGGGTTATCGGATGTCAAGGTTGAAATCCTGACTCCTCTTCAACCTTGAAGTTGTTGGTATGTAGGTACTGAGTGCTACTTCAGGGAAGAGTATTCTTCCTAATAGCCCTATTAGCACACTCTTGGGCCAAAGTAAAGTTGCATCAGGATTAAGGAGAATCCAGTCTCTGAAGACTTTCAGTACAAGCAACAAACCTTCCTTATTGCTCTGCGCTTCCTGAATGTCATGTTCTGTGTTGTTGTGTCACAGAGAGGCTATTGCCCAGTGTTGATCTGTGGCTGTCACCACAGAACTTTGAGGGGTGAATCTGGCTTTCCAATTCTTAGAAGGAGGATGAGAGGCCCCTTGCACCAGTGCTGAAAGCCAAGTGCAAGACAACATAAGAGAAGGGTGTTAGAAGTAAAATGTGGGATTTGAATGTACAACTGAAGTTTGTCAGTAAAACAAAGTCTGGCAATTGAATCAAAATAATCTATTATTATTTTTTTGAAAATTTCACCAACTACAGGCTGAGAAGAATGAGAAGTGGAGGGTGGGGAGGAAAATATATTATATATTAGTCCTCTACAATCCTATTTTTTCTAATTGAAAATCTGTTTCTTATCTTAACATTCAAGTCAAGTCAACTTAATAGCACAGTCATTTTGTAAATAGTAAGACTGCTTCATAGAACTGCACTGTTTTATTTGCTTTGCTTGGTTTGTTTCGGGGAACAAAATGCTATTTTATTGTAACAAACTGGAACACAGCTTTTGTCGTGGGATGCTTATAAAACAGTCACCTGTACGGTGTGCAAGCAGTGTAGTGTTTGTTGGGACTTGACTTTGTTTTGGCATATTGATTAATTACATAAAAGTTAGTACAGTATTAACTTTGCACATGTGGAGAAAGCATGGTTATTTATTTAAGACTCAGAGTAATAGAAAATACTAAGATCTAGCATATACCCTCAAATGCAAAGAATGAAACCAA